AATCTCAAGACAAGACTTGGTTTAGGAATTATTTTAATTTGAATTGTATCTGTTTATGAGAAACTAAAAGAAAGTTATAAAATTAGTTCTCAGTACAGTGACCGGAACTCTTAAACACTTGTTTGTCATCATCAAAAATGGGGAAATTGTTGGGAAAAATATTATAGATTTTGATGATGATGTATTTAGATTGTAATAGGGACTTTGGGTCTCCCCCAATATTCAATGTAATTTTTCTTTTTAGAAATATTGTTAAAACCGAGTTCTTGAGATTTCCAATAAAGTTGTGATATTTCTTTGACAATATGTTTGGCTCAAGGATTTTGGAAGGAAAAGAAAAGAAAATAGTTTTCTCTCATTTTCCTCACCAAAATGGAAGGAATTTGATTTTCCATCCACTTGGTACATTTTGCCTCCTCATTTTCTTTTCCTTCTACTTTTCTTTTCTTTTCCTCTCTAACCAAACAATAAAAAAGGTTTTCTACTTCATTTTCTTTTCTTTTCCCTTTCAAATTTCTTGAACCAAACATAGTGTAAGTGGTTTGATGCTTGAAGACTTAATCAAATTCAGTGATATAGAAATTGGATATCTTGATCGGAAATGTCAGAGACAAGTAAGGATTTCTCAAGGCAGATGAAAATCCTCTGATCCGGAAGACTACATGATAACTGGATGTCTCGCTACAACCTGCTGAAGGCTAAGTCATCTAAATCGGAAGACTAGCGCGGATCTCTTTCTCACCCGGAAGTCTGTGAATGACTCTTCCGGATTTGTCAGCGAAGGAACCGGATGCCTCAGAAAGACTGGAACTCTCAGAAGCGGACAAGCGAACTCACAAAGTCTGGACCTCTCAAATTAAAGAGCCTGTCCAAAATTCCTAAACAAGCACTAGAAGACAAACAGAGTAAAGTGCTACAGTCTAGAATTCTTGAACAACAGCTAGAAGACGGATTCTGTGGAAAAAGGAATCCCTCCTCAAACAATTGGGTATGCCCAAACACCCATTCCAATGAGGAATCCTCAATCACAATCTTCATTCAAAATTGAAGCCAGCAAATGCAACGGATAGTCTATTTTGATTCAACGGATAGATTATCCAATCTAGCTATAAATAGCATCCTTGGAAGACTGGAGAAATAATGAAGTACATAAACAACGAAGCAATCTCTAACAAAAAAAGCTATCTCATTCACAGTTACCCCAAAAAGCTTGATAAAGAGAGAATTCTTGATATATTTAAGCTTAGGGACGGGCAGTGGCATTCTCATTCCTTGCGGTAAGGCATGGGTCTTCGCAAGGTGGCACGTGTGACACCTCTTTACTAAGTGTTCTACATCACGTTCCATCTTTGGCCAAAAATAATGTTCTTTCATCATGAGATATGTCTTGTTGATTCCGAAATGTCCAGCTAGACCGCCGCCGTGGACTTCTTCAATGAGAGTCTCCCGAACACTACTTCTCGGAACACAAAGTTGATTGCCATGGAAGAGGTAACCATATTTGATGAGATAATCCCCATGTGGCCAAGATTGGCATAGGGCATACACTTCTTTGAAATCTTCATCTTGCTCGTACAATCCCTGCAAACATTCAAAACCAAGAACTTTGGTACTAAGTACCGTTAGTAAAAAATGCCTTCTTGATAAGGCGTTGGCTCCTTTGTTCATGACTCCATTCTTGTGTTTGATTGTGAATGTGAAGGTCTGAATGTACTCGACCCATTTAGCATGGCGGGGTCGAAGTTTATGTTGCCCTTGAATGTACTTCAATGCCTCATGATCAGAATGCAGAATAAACTCCTTTCCCACGAGGTAGTGCCTCCAATGTTCGAGGGAGCGAACTAGCGCGTAAAACTCCTTGTCATATGTGGAGTAGCGCCTCCTTGTTTCATTTAACATTTCACTGAAGTATGAAACGGGATGTCCCTCTTGAGATAGGACAGCCCCAATGCCCACACCCGACGCATCGCATTCGACCTCGAAGAGCTTTTCAAAACTCGGAAGTGCCAACACGGGTGCATGTGTTAGACGTTCCTTGATTGTTTCGAAGGCTTGCTGCGCCTTCGAATTCCATTCAAAACGCCGATTCTTTGTAAGACCGGTGAGGGGAGCCGTGATGGTACTGAAATCCTTCACGAATCTCCGGTAGAATGAGGCGAGTCCGTGAAAACTTCTAACTTGCTGCATGGTGGTTGGTGCGGGCCAATCGTGGATAGCTCGAGTCTTCTTTTCATCAACTCGAATTCCTTCACTTGAGATGTAATACCCTAAGAACTCCGTTTCTTGGGAGAAGAATTGGCTTTTCTCCAAATTTCCATATAACTTCTCTTCATCCAATTTCTTAATCACCAAAGTGAGGTGATTAATATGCTCCTCTTCGCTGCGACTGTAGATCAAGATGTCGTCGAAGTAAACAACGACAAAGTGACCGAGGAAGGGCTTCAAAACTTGGTTCATCAATCTCATAAAGGTGCTGGGTGCATTGGTGAGGCCGAATGGCATGACTAACCATTCACATAACCCGAACTTGGTTTTGAAGGCTGTTTTCCACTCATCTTCTTCATAAATTCGAATTTGATGGTAACCACTTCGTAGATCGATTTTCAAGAACACCTTGGAACCGTGAAGCTCATCCATCATATCCTCAAGTCTCGGTATGGGGTACCGATACTTGATGGTAATCTTGTTTATGGATCGGCTATCACAACACATACGCCATGTACCATTTTTCTTTGGCACCAAAAGCGCTGGGACAACACAAGGACTCAAACTCTCCCTTACGAATCCCTTGGTTATCAACTCATCAACTTGCCTTTGAATCTCCTTGGTTTCTTCGGGATTCATTCGGTAAGCTGGTTTATTGGGTAGGGCAGCTCATGGGATAAGGTCGATTTTGTGTTGGATGTCTCGTTTCGGGGAAGTCCGTGGGGAATGTCTTCGGGGAAAACATGTGAGAAACGGTTGAGTATGGGTTGGGCAAGGTGGTAAAGGGGTTCGGATGGGGGCAGGGGTTTAGATTCATCTTCTTCAAAGAGGATGAGGTCTTTTTGGCTTTGGAGTTCATGGTGTTCAGCTTGTAATATGGTGGAGAGTAGGATAGGGGGTTCTTCTTTTTGAGGGGGTGAGGCCGTGGTTGTTGTTGGGGGAAGGGGGGTGAGGGTGACCTTCTTTTTGTTGACCAGGAAGGAGTACGTGTTGGCATACCCGTCGTGAGTAACTCTTTAATCAAATAACCAAGGTCGTCCCAACAAGATATGACACGCATCCATCGGGATGATGTCGCACCATATGTCATCCACATAGCTTTTCCCTACGCTTAAGGAAACTAGAGTTCGGGAATCCACGCGTAATCCTTTACCATGATTTAGCCACTGGATGGTATAAGGCCGAGGGTGTGGTGAGGCCTTTAACTTTAGCTTTTCCACCAACGTCTTTGATGCAACGTTGGTGCAACTCCCGCTGTCCACGATTAATGAACACACTTTCTTTTGTATGGTACAATGGGTATGGAAAATATTTTCCCGTTGCAATTGATCGTCCGGGGCAGCCAAGTTGCTCAACGCTCTCCGAATGACTTAGAGCTCGCCTTCATCTGCTCCAAGACATTCTTCTTCTTCCGCTACTTCTTCGACCCAAGAGGGGCTGTCTTCTTCCTCTTCATACTCCACAATGGCCATAATATTCTTGTTCGGGCATTCGTTGGCATAATGACCTATGCCTTAACAACGAAAGCATTTAGGAGCTCGGGTGTTGGGTAGGTTGGTTTTTGGGGGTGGCGGGTTATTGGAAGTGGAAGGGATGGAGTTAGGTTTAGAGGAGGGGTTTTGGGCCGTGGCATATGGGGTGGTACGGGGTGTAGTTTGTGTGTTTTTTGAGAAGGGAGGGGGACGTCCAAACGGGGTTTTGCTTCTCTTAAGTTGAGTAATATGCACATATTTTATACACTTTTTAAGCAAATTTTGAAGGAGTTTTGAGTTCCAATTGAATTAATGTTTACATTTTATGTCAATTTTCCGTTTTACTTTGGTAGAGCGGTCCTATGCTTGGTTTTATATGTTTTGCAGGTATTTTGAGGCCATTTGGACGCATTGAGAACAATTTCAAGAACGGAAAATAAACATGGAAGTTTGGGACCAAAATAAATGGAAGAGATTTGAAGAAAAGAAAGAAATAAATTTAAAAAATGTTGAGATGGAAGCTGGGGTTCGAACTTTGCACTTGAAGGTTATGGTATTGGAGCTTTGACCATTGAGCCACAACTGATTATTCGCCTTATCACTGGTAGACAAGGATAATGTTCTATATATAAATTCGGCCATGAATTGAAAGAGAAAAATGACAAAACACCAACACTGGATGGGAATCAAACACGGGATCAAGTGGCGAGACAAACAACCTCATTTCCATGTGGGCTACTGTACCTGTGTTGATAATGGGTGCACTGTTTGTATATAATCCGTATATACGGATTCATCTATAAAAACACCTCCCTTCTCTTCTTCTAAAGAGGTTGGAACCCCCATTTTCTCCCCTCTCTCCATTTCGAAATTCTCTTCCTCCCTCACTAATATCTCACAACTTTCTTCATCCAAACACATAAAAATTACTCCATCTTCATCATCATTGTTATACCCGAACCGGGGGTCTAAACGAGTGGCTATTTTGATGAGGAATCAAGGAATGATTCAACTTTAGTTCAGGGTTCTGGAGCAGGAGATAATTGATTTACACAAAGTGACAATCGATTACTGGAAGCTGCAGAATTTCTGGGGAAGCTGATAGTCGATTATCTTAAAGGGATAATCGATTATTGAGCCCTGCAGGTGTTTCCAATGGGATTGATAATCGATTGTGGGGAATGAGAATCGATTATTTGGCAGAATTCTGGGCAGGAAGAAGGGTGTTGTTGTGGGGGAATGGACTGGAAATATATGGAGTTGATGAAGGAGTTCTTTTGGGTATTTTAATTGGAAGAAAAGAGTGAGATTAAGAGGAGAAATGGGGGGATATGAAATGGAAGAAAAATCAGGGATGGATAAACCAAGTTGGTGTTTAAGAGATATTACACACTCTTAGCCTAACTTGGGGTTTGAATATAGAATTTAAATAAGATATTACACACTTATTTAAATATCTAGAACCTAAAACTCACACTTAAGATAACCACTCTTAAGATATAGAATTAGGGATTTGGCTAAAATAGCATCACACTATTTTATAAATACTCAAAGAGTAAAAGGAGTTTTTAATATTCAAAAGATGTGTTACATTTGGCCATAGGGCCTGATTTATATAGGGAGAGGGGAAGGGGGAAATACATAGTACAAAACATGAGGAAACTTCCT